AGTATTTTTTCTCGTTTGGGCATTTGTAAAATTATTTTGTAAAAAACTTTTTGATTGCACATACAAGTTTTCTGAGGTTGACATCAAAAAGATGCTTTAGTTCCTGATTGACAATATCTCGTATGTTGTTTTTGGTCACCAGGTAACTCAATGCTCACTGAATGTTCAGAGAAAGTTTATTTAAAAGATCCTTTCCCATGAATTTTCCGTCATCTTTCAGCTACTTTTTAGTCCACTAAATGGCAGATACATATTAAAAGGCTTTAAGTTTTCGTTTAATTGTATATTTTTATCGAATAATCGGCTTTTTCAGATCACCTGAGCAAACTAAGGTGACCTATTGCTATCCGTTCTCTTCCGTCGTCGTGCGGTGTGCATAGTGGGTTAACATTAAAATATTTTCTGCTTCTTTTTCGTAACCGCTTGATCAATTTCAACCAATTTGTGAATAAAGCATCTATGGGAGAAGGGAAAAAAAGTTGTGAAATCCATGGTCCCTGACCCCTGAGGCCTGTGAGGTGGGCCAAAACCATTACCATTAATACAATCTTAAAAAATCTTCTTCTTTACTCCTAGACATCGAGCAGTCAAGCTGTTGGCATGATTGTAATGAGCATTGAATTCTCTACCGAAATTGTGAAATTCATGGCCCAGGGGTCTGGAGTTCTAGTACAAGGGCGGGGTTAAATAGATTATATAATGAAAATGTATTTTTTATTTGAAAATCTTCTTCTCTGCTCCTGAAAATTGAATAAAATAACCAAGTAAATGGTTATAAAAATCAAGAATACCATTTCCAAAATTGTGAATTTTATGCCCCAGGGTCAAAGGTTCTGGTGTTAAGGCGGGGCTTTATTGATTATATAGTGAAAATGCAATAAGTTTTTGAAAATCTTCTTCTTTGCTCCTGGGTATCAAATAAACTAATTATGTACATGGTTATGATGGGCAAAAATGCCCCCTCCAAAATTGTGAATTTTATCGCCCCAGAATCAGAAGTTGTGGTGTTAGGGCGGGGCTCTTTTGATTCTATAGTGAAAAAGAATTAGGTCGTTGAAAATCGTCTCTGCTTCTGGGTATTAAACAGCAGAAGTACTTATATAGCTATGGTGTACAGGGACCCTTCTTCAAGAGCTGTAAATTTCTTGGGCCGTAGGTCAGGTTACCATATAAGGGGGGCGCTCTACTTATATACTGAACATGTTGGTAGGAGCACTACTGATTATTGCTGAAGATTACTGATTAGTTGCAATGTATTTTTTGTTCTCCAACCCTGCTTATTGGTATAAAATATCTAAACTACATGTAAGAAATGCTAAGTGTATAATTATGATAAGCAATGGCGCCTCTTTCATAATTGTGAATGCCATGGTGTCTAGTTTTAATCAAAGTACTGAAAGTACTGAAAGCCGGGCTTAAGAACAGCACACAGGTGAAAAGAACAGGTTTCAGTCAAAGTATGAATGATATAAGGAATTATTAGATGCAGCGAATGAAAAAGCATCCTTAAATTTTATATAAGAACAATAGGTTTAACTTTGATGAAGTATAAGGGTGATTTTATCTTTTTATTTTTGAGCTTTATATATTTGTTCTTTATTGTTATTGAGCATTTTTTTTCTTGCCTTATGCCATGGCGTCAGGCACTACTAAGGATCAATATTTCCTACGTCCGAAGCTAAGAGGTCACAGTTAGCCAGCAAAATTTTGTGCATGCTGATTATCATCGAATTTTGTTACCTGCGTTTCAACAACAACAGTTAGCAGAAAAATGATCATATTACTGATAGACTGAGGATGTATTTAAACATGCATACAATCGCAATATGTCGTCCCCAACTTCGTTCGGGACGACATAATGACTAGAAAGTCTGCTATTGCAAGCAATAGCGTATGTTTCCCGAACTGGAGAATTTTCATTTTGTCATCAGTAATACTATGCCCATTAGCTAAGCTTGGACAACCATCAACTCGTATCAGTCCTTTCGGTACTTTGATTTTAAAATCGGAGCTAAGCGCATGTGCATGCATATGCAAGTTATAAATCCCATCCTGTTTGGTTCAAAACTAGAGTAGTTATAGCCATTTAAAGTTTTAGCCAATCAGATTGCAGTGCACATGCATGCACATGTTTTCATGATTATTATTATATATCATATTGTAGTGCATGACTTATTTAAAATTTCAATGAATTTCATCAAAAAAGAAAGAGATATTAAAATTTTTGTTTCAGCCAATCAGAGCAAAGTGCACGTGCATGCACATCATTTAGTGCCAATCTGACAATGTCATATTATCTACACTATTAATATATCCTTATATAATATCCTTATGAAATGAGCATTTCATCAAAAAAGTGTAAAAGTTAAAGCAATATTCAGTATACAAGTCATTTAATGTTGCACGCATCCGCACGTAAATGCGTATGCACACAAAATGACCTTTGTTCCATACATCTACACAACATGCCTATTAGCCTTAAAAAGGTTTTAGCTCAGTTGGATGGACATTTTTCTAGAACTCAAACTTGGACAACCATCAAACCTATCTGTACTTTCAGTACTTTGATTTAAAAATCGAAGTTCAAGAATTTTGACTTTCCCCCCCTTTCCATGGAAACTAATAAAAGCTTCGAATTTTTAAATCCAATGAGCACAATTAAAGAACCTAATCATTACATCCACAAAATTTCATGACGAATGTGCAAGGGTCTATGCCTACAAGTTTTGGGGATTTTAGTTCATGTAGAATAGTACTTGATGCAACAGAAATCACCCAGGATGTTCCAGGGAATGATATGAGATTGCAGGCCAGCACATACAGCGGATACAAAAATTCTCACACTGTTAAAAGTGTTACAGGTGTTGCACATATGGTGCTTTGGTATTTATTACTAAATTGCACCCTGGCAGCACATCTGATGTTGCAATTGTAGAACATTGTAAAGTCTTAGAACAGTTATCTCCAGGTGATATGATCTTAGCAGACAAAGGGTTCACTATTCACAAGTTGTTGCCCCCAAGGAGTACATCTAAATATTCCTCCCTTTCCAGTGAGGTCCAACTATGTCGAAGAATTGCTAAGTCACGCATACATGTTGAAAGAGCAAATGAGCGTATTAAGAATTATGAAATTTCAAGGCATGTTCCGCAGCAATTTAGATATATTTCTACAAAAGTCTTTCAATTATGCTGTGTTTTAGTCAATTTTCAGGATCCCCTTATGCAGGAAATTGCTCAGAATTTTGCAAGTGTAGATAACTAAGATATTAAAATTAAAATGTTTTCACCATGTTTAATGTTATATCTTATAGCTGTTGTAAATACCGGAGAAATTTACAGAAATAAAAGTCTGTCAAAACAGATATGTTGATCTCCCAATTGATGTCTTTGTTAATTCTCACAATCGCACAGTCTTTTGGTGTCCAGACCATAAAATCACACAAGGATTTCCCAATTATATGAAGCTGTCCTTGCACTTGATCATAGTATTGGTGGTTCTCTCATAGCTTGAAGGACTTGACTCCATTAAAATCCTGAACCTCTATATGAAAAAAATATATATGTTGAAGATTTTTAAAGAATAAGAATTTTCATTGGTGCCTCAATCATTAATATAAGACAAAACTATTTAACTAATAAATATTTACATGTATAAGTATTTTGTTCCTTACTGTACAATAAAGTGAGAAGGCAAATCATCTGCCTTGAGGACTTAAACATTACAACAGAAGGAAAAAACTTTTTTAACAATTGCTAAATTGTACTTAAATTTATCCAAACTAATTGATGTCTTTGTTAATTCTCACAATCGCACAGTCTTTTGGTGTCCAGACCATAAAATCACACAAGGATTTCCCAATTATATGAAGCTGTCCTTGCACTTGATCATAGTATTGGTGGATCTCTCATAGCTTGAAGGACTTGACTCCATTAAAATCCTGAACCTCTATATGAAAAAAATATATATGTTGAAGATTTTTAAAGAATAAGAATTTTCATTGGTGCCTCAATCATTAATATAAGACAAAACTATTTAACTAATAAATATTTACATGTATAAGTATTTTGTTCCTTACTGTACAATAAAGTGAGAAGGCAAATCATCTGCCTTGAGGACTTAAACATTACAACAGAAGGAAAAAACTTTTTTAACAATTGCTAAATTGTACTTAAATTTATCCAAACTAATTGATGTCTTTGTTAATTCTCACAATCGCACAGTCTTTTGGTGTCCAGACCATAAAATCACACAAGGATTTCCCAATTATATGAAGCTGTCCTTGCACTTGATCATAGTATTGGTGGATCTCTCATAGCTTGAAGGACTTGACTCCATTAAAATCCTGAACCTCTATATGAAAAAAATATATATGTTGAAGATTTTTAAAGAATAAGAATTTTCATTGGTGCCTCAATCATTAATATAAGACAAAACTATTTAACTAATAAATATTTACATGTATAAGTCTTTTGTTCCTTACTGTACAATAAAGTGAGAAGGCAAATCATCTGCCTTGAGGACTAACATTACAACTGAAGGAAAAAACTTTTTTAACAATTGCTAAATTGTACTTAAATTTATCCAAACTAATTGATGTCTTTGTTAATTCTCACAATCGCACAGTCTTTTGGTGTCCAGACCATAAAATCACACAAGGATTTCCCAATTATATGAAGCTGTCCTTGCACTTGATCATAGTATTGGTGGATCTCTCATAGCTTGAAGGACTTGACTCCATTAAAATCCTGAACCTCTATATGAAAAAAATATATATGTTGAAGATTTTTAAAGAATAAGAATTTTCATTGGTGCCTCAATCATTAATATAAGACAAAACTATTTAACTAATAAATATTTACATGTATAAGTCTTTTGTTCCTTACTGTGCAATAAAGTGAGAAGGCAAATCATCTGCCTTGAGGACTAACATTACAACAGAAGGAAAAAACTTTTTTAACAATTGCTAAATTGTACTTAAATTTATCCAAACTAATTGATGTCTTTGTTAATTCTCACAATCGCACAGTCTTTTGGTGTCCAGACCATAAAATCACACAAGGATTTCCCAATTATATGAAGCTGTCCTTGCACTTGATCATAGTATTGGTGGTTCTCTCATAGCTTGAAGGACTTGACTCCATTAAAATCCTGAACCTCTATATGAAAAAAATATATATGTTGAAGATTTTTAAAGAATAAGAATTTTCATTGGTGCCTCAATCATTAATATAAGACAAAACTATTTAACTAATAAATATTTACATGTATAAGTATTTTGTTCCTTACTGTACAATAAAGTGAGAAGGCAAATCATCTGCCTTGAGGACTAACATTACAACAGAAGGAAAAAACTTTTTTAACAATTGCTAAATTGTACTTAAATTTATCCAAACTAATATATTGGAATTATTTAAAGTAATATCTCAGTACATGAAACGTATTCAAACAAATACATACACACTATTATTACCTAGGCAGAAATCGTGTACTTTTTCAATAGCTTCTGGAATTGTCATATTCTTTGCTGAAAAGGGGCATTTCACCTCCAGTATTTCTGGCTTAACGTTTGACATCTCTAATATGTCAGCGAGTCCTGGATTCTGATAGCTGAATCCGAATGCAGCAGGACGACGAATGAGTCCATCGGGGCTTGACCCAAGAACCCCATTACAGTGTAGCCAGATACCTAATATGAACAGTATTATAAAGTTTCAAAATAGCATTAATATGCAACACTCTGATTTTCTTATGCATTGATGACTTGTTATAAATAGAATATACAAACAGTATATTTATATTCATTATCTTCAACTTCAGTTTAATAACTGAATTTTAAATAAATTAGCTCAAGAAAATTTTTTATTTATCATCAATTTTTATTTGCTTTAAAGAAATTGAAATTTTGCTTAGGAAAGAAATGTACCAACCTGTTGGCTCTACAACTGCATCCCCAAAAGTTCTACACTTTTCAATTGCGACTTTTTCATTGCACGTCCCCCAAATAATGGCATCCTTCTTTGACAGATCATAAGCTGAGCATAATCTTTTGTATAAGGAGACAGGATATCTGTTATATAAGGAGCAAACTTTCAATATTTTTGATTTTATAATTAACTGCTTTTACAAGTCATTTTATGGCTATAAAAATTGGAAACTAAAAGTAAACCGATGCAGGGGCTGGATGGTCTAAATTCATACTTTATAATTGAACAAAATAGAGAAAAGTTACTTCCATTTACAGTTACAACATTTCTTTACATACTCCTATATATTTTTAATTCTTCACATAAAACTGTAAAGCTTTGATTTAGGAGCCATAGGCAGAGGTCTGTATTCATTCAACTCCTTAAAATTTCTTCAGATACTGTAGTCAACCATTTATTTGGTCATTGGCAAGGCAAAGACTTAAAAAAAACTTTTCATTCTTCCAAAAATCTCAAAGAAATGGGATGAACTTACAGTAACCTGTAGCTCCGGTCTCGCATGGAGGCTTGCACAATTCCCCTTATAAACTGCGCATCTTTGTCATACACAAACTTTAAAACGTGGTCAGATTGTACGGCAGTCTCCGATTTCCGCATAAGTTTCGTTGTACCAGCTGTATAATTTGACCATGGAGAACGCCATACCGCAATCGCGTATACCTAATACCTTGTGTAATATGGCGTCTTCTTTGTTTATCTCCAGAAACGAAATCTGGCGATGTCTAGGGGGACACTGTGTAGGCCTAACACCTGCATCATTAGGGACTCCTCGGCTGATTAGGTTTGCCGAATAAGTGGAAAATTTAGCCTGGTACCCTGTCTCACCATTGCCGAGGCAGTGACGCAGAGTAAACGAAGCAAAACAGGGACAGGGAACCAGGCTATGCGTAGGAATTTGTTAAAAGTTCTCAACTAAGAACAAATGTATTTTTGATAATTGCACAATAATAATTACAGTACAGTTTATAATCACATTTAATTAATCAGATTATGAGTATAAATTGTTTCAACAGCAATTACAAGTAGATACACTATATTTCAGAACGTCAGTTTAATTTGGCGACTATTGGGTCAACATCCTGCCTTGAACAGGAAGTTGAACAGGATCCCATAAGCCGGCTATTGCTCTTTGAGCAATAAGCCCGGCTAAAAATGAACAAAATTCAATCATTGGAAAATTGTTGCTTGATATTCAGGTGACCTATCAGGCCCATGGGCCTTTTGTGTTTGTTTTTTTACTAAGCATTATGTTTTTTTTTACTATGTCCAGATATCATTGTATTAGTTTTATATATTTTAAAATCAATAAAATTGAGAAAAAATTAATGATAGAAAAAAGACCTCTCACCATTCAACATTTTTCTTATTTATATTAGGAGCATTTAGTCGATATCCTCGATTTTCCTCAGCTTGCTTGATTGTTCATTCATGGTTGATAATTTTTTAATGATCTGTAATATTTCTTAATTTTTTTGGAAAAAATTCAACCCTTTTTCTTTGTTTAATAAATTAGGTGCGAAGAATTGGTAATAAGATTTAGATGTGTGTCTTAAAATCTTTAGCTGAAATGCTGAAGAGTAATTATAGACTGAAAATAAAATTATGTCTAAATGTGTTTTTTTCTAATTCAACTGTGGACTCAAAATGATTTTAGAATTTCTCAAATGTTGCATTAGAAGTTTTGAAGAAAGAAATTTTATTTTAAATTATAAAAATTAGTAATCCGATACTCGTATCAAAATTTAATGTAACTTTGTACAATACGATTTTTTTATTTTCTATCTAGAATCTGAATTTCTAGATCGGTGATAAATATTTTTAAAAGCTTATTCAATTTAAACAAATTTATTACCTTTAGAGAGGGCAAACAAAATAAAAAAAAAACTTCCAAAAAGTGATTCCCTTATTTTTTGTCTTTTAGAAGATGACTGGATCTTGCTCGAATGTAAACTGTAAAAAGAACGAGAAATGCATCCCATCATCTTTAGGGAACAGCAAATGTGATCTATCTGGTATGTGAACTTTTGTTTTCATGAATGAAACAAGACGTTCGGATCAAGAGTTGAATTAAATGTCATTAATTATTTTTTTTTCGGTTTTCTTAAAGTTACAGAACTTTAATATAAAATTATCTAAAACTTTATTCAAAAATAGTTACTTGGAGTCAAAAGAAATTATTTACCTATCTCAGGATGTCGTTAAGTGTAAAATAGTCAATAGATAAGAGACTTACTTACTTTCTTCAAGGCTTACTTCTTTCAGTACAATTTTTTGGTATACAATATTACATTTCCCTGATGTCAATTATCTGTAATATATAGTGAGTGTGTGTGTGTGTGGGGGGGGGGGGGGGGGGGTGCTGCAACCATCCTTCCAATGAAGATTTCCAATAATATAAGAAATGTGAAAAAAGTGGGGGGACAGGCCATCATGCTCACCATCCCCCGTTGTAAGTGCCTTATAATTATAACGATATGTACAAATACTACCTCTTTTATTGTAAGAAATAAAATTTTACATGTCTTATCAAAGCATTGTTTTCATTTCAAGAATCACACAGATACTGATAATCTGATAAACCAATGTTGATAAACTTTAACAACTGAACCATTTACATGCATGGGATTTCAAAAAGTTCGTAGACTTCTGTTATATCGTTTTTTTATTAATCGTCATATACTTACTAAATTTAATTAGCATATTCTAACAGTTATTTCAATTCATTTGACTTACAATATATCATATCCCAATATATCTTCAAATTATTAAGATTTCAAAGCACGGCAAACTTTATTAATACCCGATATGTTGTTGATTTATAAAAGTGGCGCTAAAATGTAATAAAATTTCCATATTCAAATGAAGTATAATTGTGTCATTTCGTATGAAAAATTGTGAGTTAATATAGTCCTTCTTTGAAAAAAAGACTACATGTACTAGTGTGTATCGAAATAGGCCAAATAAAAGACTTTGCGTGACGGCAGGAAGCAGCGAATGGCTATAAAATCTTGTGTTACTCTTTGAAAAACACCAGTTCAAACTGGGAAAAATCTAAATGAGCAGGAAGCATGTCAAAAGGGAGCCGTGCATTTGTACATAAATGGCTAAGACTATTTGGAAGGCTGATACTATTTTGGAAGGCTGATACTGTTTTTGATGATGAGCGATCGATCAGGGCAGCAACGAAATTTGGTCGAAAAATAAATAACGAGTCACAATTCCAGAACTTGCGTCTCTGACATGGAGAAGTGAACATCCCCTGCCGACCGGTCACATTCGCCCTGTGCCCCTTGTCATGATCAGGAAATAACGGATAAATCCGTCATCAATTCAGTGTATAAATGATGGACTAACAATAAGTATGAAAAACATCAGTCAGCATTTGAGTCAATGATAAATTGTATTTGCTGACAAAGTCATTGTATCGACCAAAGAACATACGAGATTATGACTGCTGATATTCTTTCTCGTCAACTTGTTTGTCAAGAGTTTACCTCGTTTTACAAATTGTTTATACGTAGAGCATATATTGCGTATCGAATTAACTAAGATTTATAAACTCCGTATACAGGAGATGAAGGTATAGTGCTGCATAAGTAAGGGATGATGGCGATAGAAGAGTTAAAGTCTTCATATTTCTAATAAAGCTTGGTTGTTAGATTACAGTTAATGTTTTTTTTCAAGTTAAATATCCAAGTATGAAACAGATGTGTCCGTGGTATTTTTTGTCGTTAGCTCACAAGGATATATCGTATCGACATAGAAATGGAAATCACCATTTTTAATTGATAGTACGTTATAGTCGATATATCTAAATGTCGAGTTGAAGGCCACAGCAAGTTTTTTTCTTTTTCTCATGCATATGATTGTGCACAAATTCTGCTTCACATGAATACAAAAATAGGTCTGCTAATTACGCAATTGGTACCCATGGGGATTCCAATAGATTGTTGGAAGCATATCACTGATATTCATTGGTATGCTACTTGTGCATGCTGGACATTCGAGGGATAAACAGTCGATGATAAATACTACGCAAAGGTAATAAACCGTTACTTTATTTCTTGTATTCTTTAAATATAAAAATTAATTTAATTTTGTCATCTTTGATAATGAAATAAAAGACATTATTTCTTTTTAAATAATATTCCTGAAAAAAAACGATAATTAAGATTTCAACTTCGATGAAAGAAATGTAAAATAAATAAAACTCTTCATTCTCTGTTTAAACAGGTGATCCGGCGTGATATTGTAAATGTTATTTGGAAGAAACGACCTGACAAGCAGATACTAGTTTTTTCTTCATCAAGACTCACCGAACTAATACATGTACGACTACACTTGAGTTGGATTTGTTAGGTTTAGATCATGTGAATTACGGACCTGGCACCAATGGATTTCAAAGTTTTCCCTTCCTTGAAAGAAATGTAACGTGTCAGAAAGTTTAAAAGCAAGGGAGAACCAACTTTTGTAACATGGACAATCGTCAATAGACTAGATGACAAATGGTATAGAGATATTATTCAATGAGTGGATAAGACGGCACAGCTTGTGTACGAAAAGCAGAGAGAAGTATTTTGAAAAACTGTAAAATACGACGTCATGACGATTTGATTATTTGTAACATTATCGTTGGAAATGCTCCTAGAAGAAAAAACAAAAGGATTTATCAGTATCAGTTGTTCAAATAGAATAATTTTTTATTTCCATATCGGTGAAATGAATGTTTGGTAACATATGAAAATGTGTTTTTTTTTCTTTTCTAAAAGTTAATATCGCACGAACTCTTTGAATTACCCCTAGTACATTTAACTAGGGTAGAGACCGATAGCAATCACGTGATAGAAAGAATTCGCATATTTGCACGTGCTGTTTTCCGGATTCCGCAACGCCGTCAAATAAAAGTCTCCATTTACACATTATTGTCTATGCTACAAGATGGCCGACGGAGCAAGAGAAAGAACTACGAACTCTAACTCTTGATTCCCGCCTACATTTTGCACCCATTCAATTCAATTTTAATGGCAATTTTGCCATTAAATCTTTGTTTAAAACAAAGAACAGTTCTATTGTAATTGATTAATCATTTTATTTCCAGTGCTACATAGTAAATTTTCATTAATTCCAGCTGTTGAAAAAAAAGGGGGGTAGGCTATATTTTCTGGTGAAATTGAACTTTCAAGAATCACCATATTTTGAAATAGTCTTAAATATCATAAAATGTATCTCATATCTATTCTTATGTTTTACGCAAATAAATAAAACATATATAAATAAATAAAATACAATCATTTAGTTTAAATAGCTTAAAAATTGGTGAAAAATCAGCATTTTTTTTCGTTTTTTGTCTATAAACATATGTTCCCCCCCCCGTGAAACACAAAAACCTTTGGCATAAATTTGTTAAATGACAGTCCATATTACCTGTAAAAAGGAATTTTTGTTTCACGGGGGGGGGGAGATGTTTTAAAAATATTTTCCGTTTTCCGTTGATTTCTATAGTGAAAAACACAAGTTTAACCAAAATTATAGAGTTATCTCTCTTTGGTGTCCCAAATAAGTAACGTTTTATGAAAATTCATATAAAAATCTATCAAAATTTCGAAAATCGTTCGAACATGTTAACTTTTGAGAATTGACTTAGAGGTAGGCGGGAGAACAATACTATCGTTCGTGGTTCTTTGCTCTATTTCAAAGACAAATTTGCCCTACATATTAAATCTGTACAGTTCTCGAAATTGAAGCATCTTCATGAGAATCAAAATAGAAGT